TCTGACTAGAAAAGACATAATTACACAAAAAGATTGAAAATAAATGGATGGGAAAATGCCATCTGAGGTAAACAGTAGTGGAAAAACCCTAATATGGTAAAAAATAATCTTTCATATAGGTGAACATTATTATTATCATTATAAAGAGGGCCAGTAATGATAAAACAAATAGTTTATCTATTTGTTTTATTTAAAACAAATCATAAACTTGTATCACTTAACCAACATAGTTTTAAGCAATCTAGAGCAAAAATGAAGAACAAAGGAGAAAACAACAGTTCACCTTAGGTAGGTGGAGGTTATCTAAAGCATTTTTCTCAGTAGCTGTTGTTAGTACATTTTATCACTATAAGGAAATACCTGCAGCAGGCTACTTTTAAAGAAAAAAGATTTAGTTCAGAGTTCTGAAGATTGAAGAGCATGGTGCTCAACTCTGGTGAGGACCTCACGGCAAAACAATGACCAAAGCATGTATGAGAAGGAATGATCCCGTGCCAGCATCTCCTGCGACATTGTCACAACTACTTAGCAATGCTTGGGGTCAGACTGTCGCACTCCTCTAGTGAGTTATGGCAATGAAGGCCGTGTGCATGCTGAAGGACAATGGTCCAGTGCAGGGCACCATCCACTTCAAGCAGAAGGCAAATAAAGTTTTAGTATTGGGACACATTATAGGATTGGCTGAAGGGCAGCACAGATTCCATGTCCATTAGTTGAGAGATAATGCAGAAGGCTGTACAAATGCAGGTTCTCACTTTAATCCTCAGTCCAAACAACATGGTGGGTCAATGGATGAAGAAAGGAATGTCAGAGACCTGGACAATGTGACTGCTGACATAGATGGTATGGTCAATGTGTCTGTTGAAGATTCTTTGATCTCACTCTCAGGAGAGCGTGCCATCATTGGCCGCACAATGGTAGTCCATGAAAAACCAGATGACTTGGGCAAAGGTGGAAATGAAGAAAATACAGAAGTGGGAAATGCCGGAAGTTGTCTGGCTTATGGTGTAGTTGGGATAGAACAGTAAACATTCCCTTCCATGTGGCTGAGTCCCAGAAACTCATCTGTTATCCTGCTAGCTGGTAGAAATTTAACTTGGTAAACATTAAACATTGTAATCTTAAAAGTATAACTGTGTGACTTCTTTTTAATTGCTCTAAATATTTGTAATGAGAGGGAGTGATCACATGATGCGGCAGAAAGCTGAGATTCAGGGCTCAGGCTCACTCAGATTTTATGACATAATGCTCTTTTGAGAGCTCAGGGGTACATTTTTGCTCTAGATTGCTTAAACACAACTACCACATTCACTTCCATATTGTCTTTGACTCTTTGACTGCTTTTGTACCATAATGGCACAGTTGAGCATTTGCAACAGAGAATATATAATCCACAAATCTTAAAATATTTACTATCTGACCTCTTGTAGAAAAAAAAAATGTTGACTCCTCTCTTGGACAACAGGTCCTTGGAACACAATGCAGTGTTAGAAATCAATGACACACAGAGACAAATATTTAGACATTAAAAATCACACTGTTAGGTGAATGGATAAAGAAAATGTGGTACATATACACAACGGAATATTAATTACTCAGCCTTAAGAAGAATGAAATTATGGCATTTTCAGGTAAATGAATGGAGCTGGAGAATATTGTGCTAAGTAAAATAAACCAAATCCTAAAAACCAAAGGCCAAATGATTTCTCTGATAAGTGGATGCTGATCCATAATGGGGGCAGGGTAGGGAAGAATGGAGGAACTTTGGATTGGGCCAAGGGAGTGTGGGGAGGGGAAGGTGTGTGGGGGTGGGAATGAAATGGATATTATTACCCTATGTACATGTGTGATTACACAACTGGTGTGACTGCATCATGTTCAGCCAGAGGAATGAGAAGTTGTGCTCCATTTGTGTATGATGTGTCAAAATGCATTCTACTGTCATGTATAACTAATTAGAACAAATTTAAAAAATTTTTAGAAATCACACTGCTAAATAATTCCAGGGTCAAAGAAGAAAGTCTAAATGGAACTTATAGAATGTATTAGTACCTAACATTGAAAAGGTACATTCAAAATGCGGGATGTAGGTAAAGAGAAGAGAAAAAATGGAAGACTTAAAAATGTTAATATTAGAAAATAAGAGGTCTGGGTTGTGGCTCAATGGTAGAGCACTCGCCTGGCAAGTGTGAGGCCCTGAATTCGATCCTCAGCACCACATATAAATAAATAAAATAAAGGTATTGTGTCCACCTACATCTAAATATACATATATATATA